GGAGAAGTGAGGGGGGGGCATATTCCCTCCCTCACTCACTCACCCACTCAAAGAATACCAAGCGCAGCATCATTCGCGTATTGGGGTGTGAAACGCAGTTCTTCATGCAGGTCGTCATCATGTCATCCTTCTCTGCGCCTCCCCCCGGCCTCACCAAACCATGTAACCCATGCGGTTGTATGACGTACGGCGCAGGGGTTCATGCTCACGTACGTGTACGACCCGTGCGGCGTCGCTCCGCAGCACTCTCAAACAGTCTCCCGAACTGGATCAGGTGCGGAACGGGAGGGTGCCGCTGTGGCGGGTGCCGCTAAGCTATCGGGTGCCTGTCCTGATCCTGATCTACCAAAACAGCCGTGCCGGGTATTGGTAGGGAAGGTCCCCAGGTCCCGGGGGGAGAAGCATCTAGCGGTACACCGAGAGAGGCGCCGCCTCCGTTGCCGCAATAGGCCATGTACGACATGACGTACATGGCACCCCAAGTGGTATGATTGTGCGCGCGTGTTGCAAAAGCGAGGACCGCTCTCTTGCGTGTGTGCCATTCCCGAATGTATATTCGACGTTTGTTGTACTGCAGCATGTACGGAGTACGGAATACGGCATAATACGGATATGGCACGTGTTTGTACAATTATGTCAGTTTTGTACTTTGGCTCGGTCCTGCGATGTCGGTTCCCGCAGCTGTGAGGGAAGGTGTTTTCCGGGCGCGTGCAGGAGGGTCCTTCGAACCCGCCATGAATATCTAGCTAGCTAGCTAGCTAGCGGGATTGTGTCTTGTAAATTATTTTGGCGCTGGCAAATATTTGTCTTGGCAGGAGTTTGTGACTTGGCTTTGCGAGGGTCGTGGTAAGGGTCGCTGTTTGAGAGAGAGGAGAGGAGAGAGAGAAGGAGAGGGAGAGCGAGACAAGTGTCAATGGGGAGACGCGCATTGGATTCGGTACGATTCATTAAACTCTGAGCATATACTACTAAACTCTTTGTGTATCTATTTCTAATTGTCTGCTATTGTTATTACCTGCCGTACTACCTGCCGTACTACCTGCCGTACTACCTGCCGTAGTACCTGCCGTAGTACTATGAGTACCATCAGTGCGATCATCCAGGATGAAACCAATGCGTCGTTATTTGTGTACGTCTGTATTTATATACGTGTGTTTGTGCGCGTCTGAATGCCTTTATGTAAATTTGTATGCATATGTATGTATGTATAATATTTGTCGACTGTCGCGTGAGAGGCAACATCGTGCAAACCTGCGAAAGGGCCTCTGGAGCCCTCTGGGTGAAGAGCGGGTGATGGGGGGCCTGATGTGCCGCACCGGAAAAACCGCTACGCACAGCCCCTGTTCCGTACGTCAGTTTGAGGCATGTACGACATGTACAATAGTAAGCCTACGAATTGAGGTACAGGGAAGGAGCTGCAAGCGTGAGGCGTATGTGTGTGCGTGTCCGTAGATGGAGACATGGTTAGTTAACAGGTGGTTATTGTTAGTTAGGACGTCCGCAATCGGTTAGTCAGCGATATATAAAACGGGGGTGATGGTGGGTCGATCATTATAATAAACACAGCAGTCGGCTCATTTAGGGCGAAGTGGCAGCAGCACGAGGAGGAGGGCGAGGGCGAGGTGGACTGTAATATGTACACACATATAATCCACAATACACGCATACAGGAATGGAAGGTAACTGCAGGCCAGCTGCCATGGGGTGGGGGTGGGGGTGGGTGGTGGGGGTGGGTGGTGGGGGTGGTGATGCCTGGAAGCCGGAGATGATGTCGACTTTACAATCATGGCGCAGAATGCAGACCTGCAAGTACGTACATACGTACATACATACAAATGTATACACCCTTTATTCACGATGCGGCTTGTCATGCGCATATATAAAGCGATTTGTTATCGTACATGCGGGGCACTCCTTTTTTTGCTCAAATTCGAAGTATTGGAATTTGCGAATGCATGCATCGCATGCTATGTATCGCGAATACCGGTAACTGGCATCGGCAACCGTTAACAACCGTATTAAACCGGTTTGCTGACTTTGGACTTTACGACCCATGGGCCATGTCCCTTTAAAACAGTGAAAATCACAAAATCGACATGTCCTAGTCATTAACCGTTAGCGCTAACGGTCGGTCGGTCATTGAAGTGCTGCTTGTTTATTTCCTAGGGTTGTCAGGACGCGTCTTGCGTCTTGGCATCTTTCAAAGGTTGATCCGTCGTCGCAAGAGTCTCCTAATCGGAAAAGAGAGAGGGGAAGACAGAGGGATAAGCGTATGCGAAAGGAGATGCGCGCGGCGTCTGGCGCGCGCGCGCGAGCGAGAGGAAGTGAGTCGTAGCAAGGGTGAGGGGGATGGAGGAAC